AATGCAAAATAGTCGTGTTCACGTCAGTGATTGTTTTGTGATAAACAAAATATAGTTCACCTTGTCGCTTATATTTATATGCTTACAAGTAATGAAGATATATCTAAAATTGAGAAAACACACCTTTAAAACATCTACAAGTTTCTCTAGTGCTTGACAGACAAGTCATTGTTCGACAAACGCTCATCCATGGCACTTTCGAAAACACGTGTGTCAAATGCCCGGGGTACGCAAATGCCTAGCCCCCGGGCCGCGATAAAATTGCAGATGCCCCACCCCCGGTACTGACAACGTGAGCAAATGCCCCGCGGTTGCCCGGGGGCGGGGATGGGCACTGCTGGAATTGACTGATGCATAATACGAAATGTTAAATTAGCTCTAAACGTAAAACACAGCCTTTTGGCAAGCTACAACAAGGAAAGTTTGTTTTCTGACAACAAATCATGGTCACTTGCCGAGCTAGTCCAAACTACGACTGGGGAAATTTTATTTTCTAACCACATATCCTGGCCATTTGCCAAGCTACACAACCCAAACAATTTGCTTTTTGATCACAATTCATGGCCATTTGCCGTCGCTGAGCTACAAAATATTCACTCTTGATGACAAGGGTTGAGTTACCTACGTGTATTGACGTAAATCACAGCACCAAAGTGCCAGACAGCAGCTTTGAACTCTTGCCTCGAATCTATACATGTGACATGACTGCGCACATGCATGCATGACGTAATTTGCCCCTGCTGTGAGGGGGTGGGGGGTGGGGCAAATCTGCAAACAAATCCGTCCCAAAAAATGTTGATACAGACTGGATTAGGATTGCGTTACACTTCGTGAACGCAATAAGTGTATTTGTGGTCTGAAAGTACCGGTGGAGGTTGCTGTATCAGGTAATAAAACCCAAGGGTAAAAAATTTAACCACAGATGAGAAATATGACTGCAAAGGTACTAGCATTGATACACACAGTGAATGAAACAGATTTAACCTTAATTACAACACTCAAAATTTTACAACCACCCCATAGTCATTACTACCTAGTGTTGCAGCGTGCATTATGTAAAACTTTTGACAGTGAGTCGAGTACACTACAAAGGAGTCTTGTTACACACTAGGGTATATAAACTGATAAAGCACACACGTGGGAAAATGTAGAAGTGACCTAGTATTTTTTACCTAGTAGTATTTTTTAAAAGACCTTTTGTTACTGAGTTGGTGAAACTTTGATGATTTTCAGGGATTCAACAAAATTTTACCTTAAGACTAAAATACACCCAGTGTTTATCAACCCCTGAAAAATAGGTCACCAAAACAAAAAAGGTATTACTTAATAATCAAAGGGAAATGTGCGGCCCTCAAGTGCAATTCCAGAGAAGAAGCGTGTATGTGAGCAATTTGTATTCATTTTATTTCATGTGAGCAATTTGTATGCATTACTTTACCTCTTTATACCTCTTAGGTCACAAACCTGAGAGAAGAAATTGATCAACAGAGATCCAGCCAGGAACAGCTAAACAGAAGTACACAAGTCAAGATTGATCACTTAAAGTCGACTTTGGAAGAAAGGAAGTCAGCATTTGATTCTTTATCAGCAAAACTGTCATCCACAGAATCAGAATTGCTTCTTTCAAGAAAAATGTATTCAGAACAAAAAGCTCTTGCGAACAAATTGACAGTTGAATTGCAAGAGGAAAGAGAAAGCAATACTGCAGCAGTGATCCAACACAGAAAGAGAATGAATGAAGTCATTGAGAAAAATCATGAGTTAGAAAACATGGTCAACGTGCTTGAAAGAAGAAATAAGAGTTTTGAAAGCAAGATTCATACTTTAGAAAAAGATATCGAAAGGATGGAAGGTCAGTTTACTGAGAAAGCAAAGACCAGTGATAAAAAATTCCAGGAAGAGCTACTGAACACTGAGAGTCGGCTGCAAAAAGAAGTCAGTAATCTACAGCAGAAAGCCCTTGAATACCGTGAAGCCACAAAAGAAAAGATAGCAAAGTTAGAGGACGAGAAGAATGCATTTGAAGAGGAAGTCAGTAGTTTGAAATCTCAGATAGTTTCTATCAAACTTTCATCAGATGAGGAACTACGCAACACCAAGACAAGGTTAAAGCAAGATGAAATTGCAAGGTCCAGACAATACGATGAACATATTTCTCAGATCCAGCAATCACAGAGTGAACTGCAAATTCAGAATACAAAACAGCTGACACAAATCACAGATTTGCAGTCACAACTAAATACAGCAAACAGAGACAGTGAACAGTTAAAGAGACAAGTGGAGAGTTTAAAGCAGCAACTGGAACGTAAGGATACAGACTACAGAAATGAAGTCAATCGATCAAGAATTGAACTTGACTCGGAAAGAAAAACCCAAGCTGAGCTGCGAAACAGAATTTCAGATTTAGAAGACAAAATATCTGAGATGTCCAGGAGACACAAGGATGCCATGTCCATAAAAGACAATGAATTAGAACAACTTAATGAAAAGCTAAGGAGCA